TGGGTTAAGCCTCTGCCTTCGGCTCAGATCATGATCCCAGGCTCTTGGGATCGAGCCCCGCATTGGGCTCTCTGCTTGGCAGGGAGCCTGCTTCCCCCCTCTCTCTCTGCCTGCCTCTCTGCCTACTTGTGATCTCTGTCTGTTAAATAAATAAATAAAATCTTTAAAAAAAAAAAAAGAGTAAATAGTGAAAAGTACACCTTTCTCTCACTGCGGCCCCCAGTCCAATCCTTTTCCCCAGGCGCAATAATTATTGCCAGGTCCTTAGGGGTGCCCTCCTCTCTCTTACGCTCCTGACATCACATTTATATACACTCCTCTGATCTCTTAACAATTCCTGTTGGATATTGTAACTCATTCTTTTCCGTAAGTGCATAGTAATCCGGACTGTCATTTATTTAACCAGTTCCCTACTGATGGCCACAAAAACAGTGTTTAGTTTTTGCTGCAAAAACAATGCAGTCATGAATCTCAGTCTAGCAATCCTTATACTAGAAATAGGTATATTTTTGTGCAGCGTGCATAAGTTAACTCTAGAAGTAGAATCATTGAGGCAAAGGCACGTGCGCTCGCGTTTCCCTAGTTAATGCCAGGCTGCCTTCCAAGCACTTGTACCCGTTTATACTCTCAGTAGCAATGAATGAGGATCCTTGTTTCCCAAACCTTCTTTCGTCGAAAACGTTTCTGTAGGGATACCCTGGGGCTCAGTTGATTAAGTGTCTGCCCTCGGTTCAGGTCACAATCCCGGGATCGTGGGATTGAGCTATGAGTTGGGCTCCCTGCTCAGGGAGAGCCTTGTTCTTCCCTCTTTCCCTCTGCCACTCCCCCTGCTTGTGCTCTCTCTCTCTCTCTCTCTCTCTCTGTGTCAGATAAATAAGTAAAACCTTTAAAAAAATGTTTTCATAGTTTCCAAATCTATTGGTTTTTAAAAAATCTAATTTCTGTGTAGTTTTATGAGCATCTCTTTGGTTGTAAGTGAAGCTGAGCATCTTTGTCTACGTTACAGACCCATTTGGATTTTCTGTGAAATGTCTGCTCATGTTCTTTACCAACTTTTTGGAGATATTGGTATTTTCCTAATCAATCTGTAAAAATTATTTATCTAAAAATCAGACCTTTGTCCATCATATATGTTGGCAAGCTTTTCCAGTTTATCGTTTAATCTGTTTTATTTGCAGTGCCTGGGTGGCTTAGTCAGTTAAATGTCCTACTCTTGATCTCAGCCCAGGTCTTGATCTCAGGGCCACGAGTTCAAGTCCCACATTGGGCTCCACACTGGGTGTGGAGCCTACTTAAAAAAATAATAATAATTTGCTTTATTTCTTTATGACACCTATCAGCAAACAATGTTATCAATTTATGTACTCAAATTTAATGTTTTCTTTTCTGACCTTCTCTGAGATCATAAAAAAATTTTGGAGGCGGGGGGGGGCGCCTGAATGGCTCAGTCAGTTAAGCATCTGCCTTCAGCTCAGGTCATGATCCCAGGAGCCTGGGATCGAGTTCTGTCTGCATCAGGGTCCCTGCTCAGTGTGGAGCCTGCTTATCCCCTCCCTCTGCCATTCCCTCTGCTTATGCTCTCTGGCTCTCTCTCTGTCCAATAAATAAAATCTCTAAAAAAATTTTTTTTTAATTTTTTCTAGTATTTTCTGGTTTCATTTGTTTTACATTTACGCAGTGACCTATTTGGAATTTATCTGGCAGTAGGATGAGTTAGGGGTTCAAATTTTTTCAAGTTGGCTTGCTGCCTGTTTCAACAAGTTGCCATTCATCCTCAATACAAACCCACCACAACATTTTCAAAATTGTAAAAACTTCTTTATCTGATCTAAACAGAAGATTAACTATCTCCCTAGCCATTAAGGCAAGACAATTGGTTTCAAGGCCATTATGCAAGAAATTTAAGTTGTAGGTAGAGGGTATGTAATGTAAGATAAAGCCTGACGCCTGACAATTGTGCCTGACTCTCTATGTCAAATTAGGAGGAGAGGAGAGGAATTCCTGGGGGCGTCTGAAGTTAATGAGGGTATCGAGTCTAAAACCCAACTGTAAATCCCAGGCCTGAACATAGTTGAAGAAACAGTGCCCAAATCAGGAGCACTGGGCAGGGGGTTGGGGTTGGGGGACAGGTTCCAGGAAAGCAGAGAAGACCTGACCAAGCGTGGGGAGTTAGAGAACAGGTTCCAGGAGGCATGAGTGAGGCGTGGGTGACTGGGGAGAGCTGATCCTTTGGAAGGAGCAAGAATGGGGGAGATATTGCATTTCTAAGCAGCCCCCTAAGAATTCGCTGTGGGATGGTGGAATTCTGACTAAGCTTTCACCTACTGAAGAAGGTGGGGCCAGGAATCCCAACAGCCAGCAGAGGGGACCTCTGGCCTTGGAAATATGGACTGAAATAAGATTTCTGAGATATTCAAGTAAATGTTGGGACAGCGTGATTTGTTTATAACTAAAAATATTTACCTCTACTAAATCATACCCAAACGTAACGGTCAATAAATTACCAATAAATTGGTAAGTTAATTTGTCTTTCTTCATCGGACATTTATCAGATAAGTGGCAGGGAATGTGCTGAGCTCTGGGAGCTATAATAAGGTGCAGGTCCTTGCCATGCAGTTGCTCATCAGCTGGGGCTCAGGTAGGCAAGCGGCAGAGACAGCATGGTCATGAGGTGCTCTCAGAGACGCCCAAGAAGGACTCAGACCCAAGAAGTTCTTCACAGAGCCTACTGGAGCATGAGATGTTAAAGTACTGGTTCCTGTCTAAAATCCTTGCTCTCTCTATACAGGTAAAGCCGCAGACTTATAATGTCAGAATTATAATGAATGTCACTGCGCTTCTCATCTGTGTGGAAACTGTCCGCCGGGGATCTGAGGAAATCTAGGGCCACTTGATCTTCCTAGAGATTCTTAATCTGAGGATGGGTTTCAGAGGGTCTGTTAACCCCTTAAAATTGGATGCAAATTATATGCTCATGCTTTTAACTTCTAAGGGATAGGGTCATAGATTCTGTGAGAATTTCAAAGGAGCATGTGACCCCGGAAATCTTAAGAACCAATGAGTAGATTTTCCTCAACTTAATTAAGGATCTTTTATCTTGAGAACATCTTTTAAGACATCCTAATCAAACTCTAACCTAGAGATGTGTGTGTGGTTGCTAATACCTGGTCCCTTTTAAAACTTTCTTCCTTACCCTTCTTCTAGCTTCCTCAAACCCTGTCCCAAAAAAGGAACAGAACTGGGTGGCAGTTTACTCTTTCCTTTCTTTATCTTTATTTGGCAACCCCATATTAAACCACAATAATAATATAAGCAACTCTGTACTTAATTGTAATAATGTGATATCAAACAGAATTCAAAATTTACATTTCCATGGCAATCTCATGTTTTTTTGGGTTTTTAGTTCCATGATCCAGTCCAAAAATCAAATTCAATGCACTTTCTTTATATAGGACATGCTGAGGGAGAGAGGAGGGAAGCAAGACATACAGATGAATTACACCATGTGCCCACTTCATGGAGATAAGACATTTTGGAAAATGCACAGAGTGTGGTGGAAAGAGATTATTTCTTCCTGGAGGGTGCAGGAGAGTCATGACAATGTTCCTGTTGGACAGTATTTCTTCACTGAGGATGCCATAAGCTTCTATCTTCCAGCAACACTACCCTCTGTTTCTGCACCTTCAGAATGAGTTCTCAGGCCTGGAAGCTAAAACCTGATCAGAAATCCCCAGAAAATAAGGCTGGGAGAAAAATCAGCCTTTGTCATAAAATGGCAAGTAAAGAGAGTGGGAGCAACCAATCTAGGAAAATCTATACAAAAACATACAGTGTAACAGGAAATATAATACACACATTGTTTTTTAAATCAGTGTAAGAATTTTTGAAAACTGGTATTAATAGGAAATCTTTATCATCATTAGTGCTATATTATTATTTTAAAAGTCTGGCTTTAAACAATTCAAGGCAACATTCATATTTTCCTAAATGTCAAGAAACAGAAAAATAGTTTTGCTAAAAATATTTACAGGCTGTGAAGGCTTTTCTAAAATGTAGCTTGAGGAGTGTGTGTGTGTGTGTGTGTGTGTGTGTACATTTTCTTCTTAGTAAATTGTGCATAATCAAACATTTACTACCGAGAGTCATAACTGAAATTTGTGTAGTGTTGGTTTTTTTTTTTTAGATCAATGCTTATAAGGCAGTTTCATGTTCACTATAAATCCTGTACAGTACATTAGCATAGGCAAGTAAATTTTCTCATTCTCTGTTTTCAGGATGAATCAGCACCGGCCAAATTTTTGAGACAGCTCGCGGCTTAGAGGGAGGCTCATCTAAATAAAGGCCAGCTAAAGTGACGGTGGCAGGGACTTAATCCTTCTCCGGCAGCAGCCCGTGTGACCAGAAGGCTGATTTGCAAGTTTCTTCTTTCCTGGGGTCCAGATCATTGGGTCCCCGGGGCCCTGCAACTCTCCGGCAGGAGAAGTGCAAAATGAAGGGGGTCGGAGCTGAAGGCCAGCAGCAGGGACCTGGGGGCCTCCGAGGGGCCCTAAAACACCAGAGTGGAAGATTCTCGGGCCGTCAAAGGAAATAGCAAACTGGAGCCTTTGTCTCAGGCGCGGGCACCTACCACAGAGCATCAGACCGCATGGGCCGCCGGAAGGTTCCTGGAGCCCAGACAGGAAAGCGGTTACGGTGACTGGATGTGTGCGCGCCGGACAGTGAGCGCTGGGCGGTGCACCGTGAAGGAAGGGGTGAGATGTCCGCAGTGAGGGGGGCAGCTCTCGGCTTGGCGGGGCAGGCTCTGCCGGCCTGTCCGCCTCTGCCCTCCTCTCCCTGAAGCCTCGAAGGGGACTGCGTGCTCTGCAGGCCGGCAGTCGAGGACGCGGGGCTCTGACCGGCCCCAACTCCCCTCGCCCACCCCCTTGGCCCTGGCGCCGCTCCTCACCTGCCTCCCATCGGAGCCTCTCGGCCGAGACGGAGATGCGAGCCTGTGGTGGACGATGACCGCAGTGTACGCGCATGGAGGCGGCCTGGTGACCCCCCACTATGCCAGGTGGGATCGGCGGGAGAGCGCGGAAAGCGGCTGCCGGACGGAGTGCAGCAAGGACGAGGAGGACGGGCAGCCCCGCCAGCTGACACCCTTTGAGAAGCTGATGCAGGACATGTCCCAAGATGAGAAGGTGTTGAGGGAGATCACGCTGGGGAAACGGATTGGCTTCTACCGAATCCGAGGGGAGATTGGAAGTGGGAACTTTTCCCAAGTCAAGCTCGGGATTCACTCCCTAACCAAAGGTAGGATCTGACCTTCCAGGATCCTCTCCCCTGGTACCGGGAGCTCATCTGCGGCAGGGGTTTGGAGGCCAGGGCCAGGGCAGTGGGTGAAGTGACATCACCGAGGCCCTGAGGGTCACAAGCGTTGTCCCCTCACACCTTCCATTATTACCTCAGTGTATTTTCAAAGGAACACTGTGAGGTCAGTATTTTTATTTCCATTTACAGATAGGGAAACTGAGATCAAAAGAGGTTAAATATTGTTTTGGCAGTTCAATCTTGAAAGATTTTGACTCTAAAAACTCTTCCACCATACCACATGGACGAACTCATTTCATGTGAGGGGTCTCTGTCCTCTCCAGGCAGGCCTTGGAGAAGTGGGGTGGGTGTGGCTTGGTTCCCGGGCTGTTCATCTTCCAAGTCCTTATTTATAACCTGAGTGAGTGTGTGTGTGTGTGTGTGTGTGTGTGTGTGTGTGAGTGACAGGATGACACAGGAGACCTCCCAGGTCACCACTGTCCGTGAATAGGAGGGTTCAGGCTCCCCTCCTTCCCCAAGGCTGCTGCTTCTATTATATCTGGAGGAAAGGCTTTGGATCTCAGGACCACCTCTGCTCCCGTCTACTCTGTACCCCTCATTGTTGCTTGGCTCCTTGCTCTCTACCAAAGACTCCTGATGGCTTGGCTCTGGACACTCTGGACCCCAGACCAGCAGCGCCCGCCACTCTGGCCTCAGGGAGGAACTATGCAGAGAGCCCAGCAGCCTTTTGCTGGCCCAGCCCAGTGTGGGCACTTCTACGTGTCACCTGAAACTTAGCTGAAGCCTGGAGATGCTCATAAGGGAGTTGGGAGGCAGGAAAAGTACACTTGCAACTTGGTATAATTTACCAACTTCCTAAAGCCCACGGACTCCACACTGTCCCTGCGAGTTCTGTACCGACATTTTCCCACCTTGGCCCCAGCCTACTACCGTATCTCCAGAGCCCCTCTTTTCTTATATTAGAGTTGTCTTTGGTTTTCTTTTTCTCGGACCCCCAATCCCATCCCTATATTTGGCCCCTATGTAAAAACACCCGCACATACATACACATACATGTGCACATGTATTCCCACGTCACTGGGGCTCCAAGTCTCCTTCCATCTTGCTTGGAGACCAGGTGTCTGGGTCCGCACGTCCTCATGTCTCGGCTACTCTCCCGACTTGCCCTGGTAAATGCCAGTACTTCTGGGAGCCTGTGCTTCCTCACGTACAGAATGCAGCCGGGGACCATCTGACTTGACCCGCAGAAGCAGATCTAGTGCTGTAACGAGAATCTGATTGGGACCCGTGGTCTGGAGCAAGAATGAGAGACATGGCTAAGACATGGGGAGAGAGAGGCCAGAAATTGAGGCAGAAGACATGATCAGGAAGGGGAGAGGAGAAGGTGGGTGAAGGCAAACCGGGAGAGGAGCATGTCCAGTGCAGCAGACAGGCCGCGAGGCAGAAGTCCGAGCCAAGGCCGTCGGGTGTGGCCAACTTGGAGCCATTTCCCGAGTGTGGGTTCAGGTGTTGGATTCCACCAGCGAGGAGACATTGTGGGGGCAGTGGAGGGACTAGGCACCTCAGAACCAGGCAAATTTGTTTTAGATCCTGCTTCAGTCCCTTACTAGGCACTTCCTCTTTGGTCCCTAGTTGCCTCAGCCATAAAATAGAGAGAATGATTCTTGGAATTGTTGGGAAAATCAGAAACAACATATATAAAGTACATGGCACATAGTAGCCATCATTGGTACAACTCAATATTTTTATTCAAATAAACTTATTTCAAAAAGAAATGTAATATTATTTATATAACAAAAAACCAATGTCACTTGTTCTGAGTAGAGGTAATGGTAAAAATAGGTACAATGCAAACAAATGTAAAAGTTCTATTATTTATGTATTTTCCCGGTTTTGTTGAGACATAATTGACATATAACATTGGGCAGGCTAAGATATACATCATAGTGATTTTATATCTGTATATGTTGCAAAATGATTCTTGCAATGAAGTTGCTTCAAACATCTGTCACCTCACAGAGTTAGGATTTTTTTGTGTATGGTGAGAACTCATCAGCAACTTTCAAGAAGTTTTCAGGCAAAATCGCCAAGTAATAGAAAGTAAACCATGCCAATAGCCAATCTGAGACTTTCTATTTGTGTTACTCAGGAGAATTAAAGACTAACTCTAACAGGAATGGTGTTTTTAGGCAGTGATTCAGGGCAGGCTAAGGCGGGTTTCCTGCACGAAAATCATTCCGCACCCCCACGAGTGTTACAGGCTCCCCTCCGGGAAGCACTGACCTCCTCTGGTCCTCTCGTTTTGCGGAAGTAGCCCGGGTCCGTCTTGCAGCCTCCTTCCTGCCAGTCCGTCTCCCTGCTCAGTGCCTCAGTGACAGTTGCGTCTTTAAGTAGCAGAAGGGCACGCACTAAATACTGGGAAGTTACTAGCTTTGGAATCCGTGAGACTTGGGTGGAATTCCCATTCTTTTTTTTTTTTTATAAAGATTTTTATTTATTTATTTGACAGAGATCACAAGTAGGCAGAGAGGCAGGCAGAGAGAGAGGAAGGAAAGCAGGCTCCCCACTGAGCAGAGAGCCCGATGCGGGACTCGATCCCAGGACGCTGAGATCATGACCTGAGCAGAAGGCAGAGGCTTTAACCCACTGAGCCACCCAGGCGCCCCTCCCATTCTTTTTTATCTTTTTTATTAAACAAGTTCTGTGCCTCAGTGTCTTCATGAGTAAAACTTAAACATGTGACATATTGAATATCTACCGTGTGCCTTAGACAGAGCACCCGGTAAGTATTCATTAAATGCTAATACTAGTCTGATTTCAGAAAAGTCTAGGTTCTTTGGGCCTGCGGAGTCACACATCCCTGGGTTCATGGAACAGAAGCGCACTCACATTAGCGCATGTGAAAAGGGGGGCATCGTGGACCGGGGAGTTCCGTGCGCCCACAGCGGAGAAGCAGAGCTAGTTGCAAGCTCTTACTCTTTCCACCCCTCCTTTCTCCGGGGCCTCACGGTTTTTCATTTCTACTTCCCCTGATGAAAGTGTTCCATCTTCAGACTTCGTTCCGCAGAGCGGCTTTCTCCGCGTAGCTATCAGAAGACTCCTGGCCAGGAATGGCTGTTGCTGATCCCACGTCTGCACGGTCTCCCGGGCGTTATTACCCGTCTCCGTACGCTAGCCTCGTCCTGTGCCAGCTCACATCTGACCGAGAATGCCGTTGCTCCCCAGCCAGCGGACGCCAGGCCGCCGCTGAGTGCAAGGGCACGCCCACGTCAAGTCAGCTGCAGCCTCTAGGGTGCGCGTCCTATGACCCCACGACCGTGTCAGCAGAGTCTGAGGTCCTGACCGGTGTCTCCGGGAGGGGAGAGTAGTAGAGAGCGCAGCAAATCCACGGACACATCGACACGGAGGCGATAACCGGCCAAGGCAAGAAATCAGCACGAGCCAGGAGCCAGAAAGTGAGAGCCTGGAGACAGGCTTCTCGGTGAGGAGGGCAGAAGAGATGAGCAGCAGAAATGGGATTTAGGTAATCATTGCCTGCTCGATCACCACAGGCTTTGCGGCGGCGGTGTTGGGAAACTGAGTTCTGGCTCCTTGAGTTCCAGAGAACATGGCCTTTTCCTTCTGTGCAAGCTGGGGCGTCAGTGGCCTTACCCACATGTGCTCCGCACTGCCGAGCCGCCCCAGCGGAGCCCGTGGGTCAGAGGTTGGCTGTCACCCTCCGGCTATGGGACATACGTGCAAAAGAGGGGAGGAAGGCCCAAAGCCCAGGCAGTGGGAAAATTGACTCAACGAGACAGTTTAAGCAACAGATAATGTAAGGACAGGTCACTGAGCGACTGAAAAATGATTCCTGGGCCTCCCCCTCTAGGCCCATCCTGTAAAGGCCTGGTCCTAGAGCTGCACCCACCTCTCTTCTGCGGTTCTGCCTTCGGTGAGGCCCTAGTTAGGAAGCAGCTGGAAGGTGACAATGAAAGCAGCTGAGAAGGGAGTTGGGGTGGGGAGCCCATATGCCGAGGGATGTGAGGGCTCAGGCAAGAGAAAGGGGGCTCAGGTACTGGGAGATGGAGTCTTGGACTGGGAGATGGCCTGAGAGAAGGAGGGGGGACATTTGGCCACCTTGAGCTGACTGGAATGGAAAGACAGATGCCCCATGTCTCCAAAACCTTCATTTCTGAAAGAGGAGAGATGGAAGTGGCTTAGTGAGCAGCTTAGAAAGCCACGCTGGGCATTTCAAACAGCTGTCTCACTGCCCGGCCGCATCAGACCATGTCACATGGACAGTGATTGTGTGAATGTGGTCCCCATACAAAGCCAGCTGGCCCAGAACTGTCATCAGGTTTTCTAGGAAGTGTGGGCAACCTAGATGCGACAGTGGAGGGGTTCTCAGGAAAGCAGAGGGATTGGGTACTGGGAGCAGCTCCTAGGACGGTATTTTTTGTTGTTGTTGTTGTTGTTTTAAAGATTTTATTTATTTATTTGACAGAGAGATTGAGAGAGAGAGAGAGATCACGAGTAGGCGGGGGGTGGGGGGGCGGGGAAGCAGTCTCTCCACGGAACAGAGAGCCCAATGCGGGGCTCGATCTCAGGACCTTGAGATCATGACCTTAGCCGAAGGCAGAGGCTTAACCCACTGAGCCACCCAGGTGCCCCCCTAGGATGGTAGTTTTATAGGGTCCCAGCTGTTCTGGATGGATCTCTAGGAAGAAGGCTCCAGGAGAGGCCCCTGTTGGCTGGAGTTTATTTTTATAGCTAACAGCTCAGATTTCCCTGGGCCTGGCAAGCTGATAGGGCAGCTATGAGTCCCCTTTTAAGCTGATTAGAAATTTCTCAAAAGAGATGATGCACTCGGCTTCTGGATATTTTATTTTCCATCTGTTGTCACAAACAAAAGTAAATGAGGCCACGGGTGCCCGTCCCTTTCTCTGTTGCTGCCCTTCCTGACCTCCTCTTCCCTGGTCCTCCTGTTTGTCAGTCTGGTCTCA